AAGAAGGACTACATTTTGCACTTCGGAAGTTAATGAGGGAAATTTTTAGCAGAGGCCACAAATACATAGCTGAGGTTACTGGAAGAGTCTAAAAGGAAGATCGGAATGGAAACTATCCGAAAAATTATGACACATCAAGAGCCAACGATTAGGCACGGTATAATAAATAAATTTGAAAAAGAATGAGTAAATAATTCTAAAAGCAAACAAAGGAGATGCCATACTAGCTATAGACAAAAAGAATAAATGAAGAAAATGGAAAATTTTCATCGTGCCAGAATAACTTATCGGTCGTTAAAAAAAGACACACAAGTAAAATCAGGGAACACTGCGAGAAATGCTGAAGGAAATGAATAAGAACAGGGAAATCAACAAATGGATAATAAATTAATTATTACGAAAGGATTCAAGACCGCCACTATCACACGGTTTATCGAAAATCCACAAAGAAGGAAAGGCACTGGGATTGATATTGAGCAATAAGAAGGGAGTAGAACAAAAACTAGGGAAGGTGTGAAGACCAAGATGGTGTGGCCTTTTGTGTGATCGCAGTCTCCTTTCGTAGTATAGAAACGCAACGCACAAACGTTGTGGTGCAGCATTAAACCTAATCAAAGCCAGCAGCACAACCTTTGTGGGTCGGCACACAAGCAACTAGGTCATGACAAGACATAGACTTGTTATTAGGGATAGAGACAGGATAGACGATGCGGCGATTGGAGCTAGTTGGCTGACAGTGGGTTTTACAAGAGAAGTGGTCCATGTAGTAACAATATGACAGACTCTGGTCAACATTCCCAGCACAAGAGGGAAAGGGATGATAACGAAAGTGTGGAGTGTGAAGGGTTTTCATGAATGCCGCTCGAAAGAGCACACCCCACTACATTAAAAATATGCACGGTAAAAAAAATGTGACAGTAAAGGCGTGATTGGAGGATATAGGAAATATGAATAGGTCAGGGCAGAAGGGGAGATACCACAACTGTTTAGCACACGTTTGGTCAAAGGATTGACTTCACTTGTCTCTTTGACGAGTTGTAATATGGTGCTACGAATGGCAAAACTCACTGACGATGCCGACTGCAATGCCGGCGAAACGTCTGGGAATGTACCACGTGCACGGTCATACTCTGGAAATGATGATGCATACATTGGACTCCAAACTAGATGCGTTCCTCTAAGTCTTCCTATCAATATGACCGAGTTGGGAAATAAGGTAAAACAACTTCTATACAACGAAAGGAGACTGTGACCACATAAAAGGCCACACAATCTTGGTCTTTATACCTTCGAAAAAAACTAGAGAAATTCATTCACCTTAAATTAAGGAAGGTGAGTGAAAGAGTATCGAATACGGTAAACAAATTCATACGATTTTTATAAAGGAATCAAAGACATTAGATGGGAGATTTACAGAACTATTAGTGAGCTTCAATGTACAGTTGGTGTAAACGAACAAATCAGGAGAGAAAGTGCTTAGGACAATTTTGAAAAGGAAGATGATACCCTAGAGATAAAGCGAATCAAAAAATCTTTAATTAATTTAATCAAGGTTAGGATGAGTCACTTATTTTACATAAATGGGTTGACCTCGTTGTCGCAACTTGGTCTTGTTGTCAGAGGGACTGAGTAGAACACACCTAGTCCGAAGTCGTCTGCCATAGTAGTTGTAATGATTCCCAGCATCAGACAGTAGATTTGGAACATTCTTAAACGTTTCGCCGGCAACGTAGTCGGCATCATCAGTGAGTGCTGCCATTCTCCGCACCAAGCTACGATCTCTTCAAAGAGACAAGTGAAGTCAATCACTAGACAAACGTTCTGCCGAAAACGGTTATGCTATCATTCCTCTTTCTGTCCTGGCCTATCTCTCTACTCTTTACCCTCTTATCAAAAACCGCCA